ACTGCAACACTGAATTCTCAAAAAAAACATCTCACACGGAAACCTCGAGATTAATTGTGTTCTTGGCAACGGGTCTTTAAGGCATAATCGCTATGATGAACAATTAATCATTGTAGCTAATTATAATTTCATACTAAATTGTTAATCCGCTCGTAATTCCCTAAATAAACATAATAAAAGAGGAGACTTCCTCGTTTTTTCAAGTAATACTAGTGCTATCTTAAAAGCGATCTTTTCACGAATAAATCATATCAACATTTATTCTTCCGGTGTTTATTTATTTTTGCAAATTTAAATTCTATATTTTAAATACACGAAAAAATCTACTAAAATCTGTAAATATTCTAAATAAAAAAAAAAATTAATGTCAAAAAAATATTACATACGAAATAATGTGGTTTGAGTAATTTTATCTACTTTTTCGTACCGTCACCAGTATGAAACACTGTGGAAATATAATATTCTTGTACGCGTACCAACCGATTTACATTCATGTTTTTGTTAAAAGTTTATTTGTTAATGAGATATTTACGTTGTTCACTTCGGCCGGATTTCCCTTTTACCACCAGCAAGTTTGCTATATCAATTATTATTAATATTATAACAACAAGTGTCCAAAACTAGTTCATATTAATTTTTTTCTGTACCTTTAAGGTTGCCGGTACATAATACTTGATTACTTAAGATATGTTATGCTTTGTTCATTTTTTAATTAACCAATGATTTATTTACGTGCGAACGGATACGGTCTATGATCACGCCGAATTGTTAAAAAAAATATATCTCTATCAGAAAATATAAAAAGACGACTTGTAATTAATAATTTGACATGTTGGTGTTTCTAAAATCGGTTGACACAAAATGTCCAACTCGCAGCTTTACCCGCACACTGTAACGTCGTTATCACTGAACACAAACATAACACCATCACAAATCATTATGATCTCCGTAAAAAACCATTATTATAATCATTTTTTTGTAGCTTTTTCGCTATTGTGTGCACCGTAAGCTTTGGTAAAGGATTTTCCGCCTTGGAATCCAAACATTTTAACAGCCAAGACAAATGTGTTACTCAGTGCGGAGCTGGACACATGCAAACTGAATGTCCTGACGCGAGTAAATGAGTTCCCAAAGAGTATGTGCGGTCAAAAACATACAAATAATCGACCAGTGTAAAAGTTTAACACTTTTCACAATATAGACGAACTAAAAAAATTGCAAATTTTTAAATTTTAGTGTTCCAAGCAAATGTTGTAATTCAGTGCAATATTATTTACAATATTGCAACGAAATTACAGGTACTACTTAAAATCAAATTTACACTATTATAACTGCGTTATAAAAACAACCAATTGCATTATTATAGAATGTATTAATTTTTTTCTTCGTGTACTCAGTGTCTAATATACAGGTTTTTTAACGAGCTGAGACTCTTTATAAATTAACAAATAACCCTTTCTCTAAAAAAAAATAATAATAAAGCGATAATCAAGCACATTTTTAACAAAGCCATTTATGAGGCCACCATTTATCACGTTCAATTCGCATTTGTTTCAACTGCGCCATGTCTCGACTGCAGTGTTTTTTAATTCCTAACATTTTACCAACTTGTTTTTCAAAGCCAATAGTCTGAAATAGTGAGAATCGCCGACGACATATAAATGGGATGCGGTTGTCACATTGCTCCAAGACAAAAATAATTCCATGGTGAAGGCACAAGTTTTTTTGGAGGGATAGAGAAAACTGTTTTTGTGTATACCTATCGCCTTCAAGACGAAACCTTATTTACATCAATGTCGACAATGTACTTGGTTTATCTACAAAATTTATCCTTAGCTGTTGACTGCCATGACGTTACCGCGTTTATGTTACCATGGCCGTTGCTGCAGAACAATAATACTTATAGAGGTCAACAAACGTACACCGAAGACGTACCGCGAGGCGTTTTTGTGTCCCTATTAGATATTGTTTTTTTTTGTAACTATTACCGTACACGTCTGTTTAACGTGTTGTTTGGTAATATCATAATTATATTGGTGTGTAATGAGTTTAATTATTCGGGTACGCTGACTGTTGGCATTCGGATGACACGTCATAAATGAATTATTACGCCGGATAAGATCAAAAAGTGTATCGGACGTGGGGAAACGTCTGTATTCGAAAAAAAAATATAAGTTATTTAATTTACGACCTAATCGTTTTAATTACAAAAATGGTGTTCCGGTTGCCGCTCCACTACAACGACTAGGCGATTCGTGTACGGTTATAATTACCTTATGATTTAGTTTTTCTGATAAACACATTCGATACCGCGTATCTACACAAATCTATGTGCTCTCGGTGTCCACTGTAATTTTTTGTGCATATTAAATTGAGCTTTTTCTACATGATCTCCTTAATGCGCTCACAAAACAATTAAAACAACGTATTATGACTGGCAAGGGCATCCATTTGGATGACGTTGGAATGTTAAGCACTATTTAATATTCCAACAGAGTATTAGTATATAGTTAATTATTATTATGGGTCTATTAATTGATATTTTTTGTATCAATAAACAGGTACATAATTTTGCCGTGCACTGTTAGTTAATGAGCACCGTCGATTGTTAATTTTGATAATAAATACACACGATTCGTGTTTTAATAACATCATGTCTGAGTTACGAATTATAATTTTTGCGCTCGTGTTTAGATTGCTGTAATAAAAAAACGTTTGCATTTTACATATCGTTGAACTATTTAGACGTTTCAACCTCTCAGCTTTTCTTTATTTACTGTCGATATTAGATCCAATCGAACGATTTTATTTATCTAATTTCATTTCGAAAATAATGGAATTTATTAATTGAAAAAATATAATTTTAATTAATGCATTCCTATTATACGAAGGGAAATTAACAATTATAAAATACTTTGAGATACTTAGAAGATAAACGTCATAATTATTGAACAAACAAAACAAAAAATTGCTTAATTACAATCGAAAAATCATTCATAAACACGTTGAAGTTACCTAATAACATAATTTTAAATTAAATAATTCATTAGCGCTGAACGCTATTTAAATGACGTTAATTTTTTATAAACCAATCCAATTAAATTGTAATTATGTTCAACTGTTATTGTGTCACCGTGTAATTAAGGTATAATAGCTACTGTTTAATTTGGAGTATCATAAAAATGTAATTCAAACAAAACGGCTAAGAACAATTATGACCCGAAGACATCAACGCGAATTCCTCGTGGCGTTTTCCACGAAAGGAAAAACAAAAATACATTATTTGTGCAACACTATTCATTAAGTTGAGTGTTATATTTATACTTACAGGTGTGCAATAACAACACATTATTGTGATAGTAACATTACAATAATAATATCGGTAACGATGTTGATCAAGAAATTATTATTTGTATAACTATAGAAATTTAATTAGTAGTATTTTGATACGATATTTTAATATAAACACAAAGGTCACGTATGAATTTAGTAAAATTAATTAACTAGTCAAGTGCATCAGTAATACAAGAAAACCCAAAGACAATGAAATCGTTAAAAATCATTTATATCAAACAATGGCATAAACATGATTTTTTATGATTTTAGATAATTCATTTTCACAATTTTTAGTCTTCGTTCTTTTGAGCTTATTTATTTTATTGAAAAACTATAAAATACGTTCTATTCTAACATTGTTTTACACCCGATACGATAAGGTCCTCCTCTACTCTCCTCCTACATTACTGGCACCGAGTAAAAAAATCAATTTCGATTGTAAATGTAATGCAGCAAAAATTACATTTAAACAATTATCCATTCGATCAAATATTAAGCAGTGTAAATAAATTGAAAATTCATTAAGTTCGTTTGACTGCTTTGGCGCGCATAGGATCGTTAAAACCGTTTATAATTAGTTAATAAATTAAATCGATCAATAGTTGTTTTCTATTGGCAGTTTTAACAGTGAAACCTTTTAGAAGACATTTTTTATAACGTCGGTAAAGCATACGAGCAAAGCGGCATCAAATACATATTGAAATATTACTCGTGTTGTAATTTTTTTTTATTATCACAATAAATAAATTACTCCGACATAATGTTATCAAATTAAAATATATCATTTGGAAATAGCATTGCGAAAGTACCAAAACGGGTGACATAAATTCTTCGCAAATTGTTTATTGCAATTTTTTCAAAATCACTTTTTATAAAATTATGTCAGTCGTTAACGTCGAGTTGAACTTAAATACACGTGAATGGGCACACTAGAAACGACTCAGTTATTTTCGGTGGGTAATACACGACTCGTTTTGGCCGCAAAATTGTAATTTTGGTAAGTGTACGAAATACAATAGCAAGTAACCACCAGAGACGCGCCTATAGACTCGTGTGAGTCAATAACAGTAATTGATCGTGTGTTGTTGTGTGCGTCGAATGCGCGATGTTTTACAGATGTTTGTAAAAAAGTATCAAGATACCACTCGAAATATAATAGATGATAATGAATAATTGAAAAGTATTTTGTTGAAATTTGTCGCCTACGTTACAGTGCGTGTCGAATATTAAGCAAACGTGTAGGTGTTTAAATGGTTGTGTTGCACCGATTAGTCAGAACGTATGGAACGCGGACGGCCCGTGGGAGTCGATATTGTATTGATATTGATATTAAAATAGAATGAACAACTAAATAGTAACAATACGAGGCTTGTATGTTAATGACGGTGTCGATAAACGTCGGAGTGCCGGTCGGGAGAGGGTAGTGAAATGATTATTGTGAATGTGGCGCACGGTGAAAAAGAAAAGTGGCCGAGGTGTATAAATTAATGCCGTGACGTATTGACGAGCGCGTCTTCCCCTCCACTGCGACCGGTGCCGCCCCGCGTCATGGGCGTTACCACGCCGTGGGCGGCGTCACCGTCGCTACTGCCGCTGCCGCCGTTACCCCTACCGTCACCGCAGGCGCCCTACACCGTCACGAGGTCCGCATCGAGTCACCGGCCGCACAGCAACCGCTCAGTCAGTCAGTCTCACGACCGCTACTGTCCGTGCACATCGCCTCCGCCTGTTGACGTACCGGTAAATTATTACAAGTGTTGAATTTTTATTTTGAACATTTCGTTGGACATATACTTGTCGCGTTCGTGTGTTTATCGTGCGCCAAAACGACACCGTTTTTAGCCGAATAATACTGTGCGGTTCATGTGCTCAACAACGTTTGTCGTTCAATTCATTCATTGGTAACACACCGTTGGATGCGCCGCCACTGCAGCTTTACATACTGTTGGTGCGGACACACATGCTAGAACCTACGGCAGCAGCAAATATGACCGTGCTTGCGCTCAACCATCTGTTGCCTCCTTCGACCAACGGGCAACGGACTGTCAAAGAAGAAGACACCAAACCGATCCTCATGAACAACAACAACAACGACGAGACGGTGAGCAGCCCGTCGTCGGCCGCGGCTCGTCCGTCCGGCCACATCAAGTTCAGCGTAGCCGCACTGCTCGCAGACACCAGGCCCGTCCGATCGCCGACGCCAAACTCCGTGTACGACGACGACATGATGGATACGCCCGACGACGACGACCGCGACAGCGTAGACGTGGAGGCCACCGGGGACGGCGGCCGTTACTCGACTACGCCGGAACGCGGCCGATCGCCGCAATCCGTCAACCCGTTCCACCATCAACCTTCGGCCGGTGCGATGGCCGCTAGGGCTTTCATGATGTCCGGAGCGGCAGGTCACCATCATCATCATCCCGTGACACCGGTCAGGCCCACACCGTTCACCGCGTTTGCAGCAGCAGCCGCCGCAGCGTACTCTGCCGCCGGCATGCAACATCCTGGAGCTCCCGGCTCGTGGCACCCAGCTGCACATTATGCCGGGGGTTTCCCCACTTTCGGTTCCAGTGGTCTCAATTCCGGTTCACCCGGTAAGTAAACAAACTGTCATTAATTAAATTCAAAAAATGTTAACTCGACTCCGAGTCTAACAGCTATGAGACGTATACAGTTTGCGCGATTAGGACTATATTTAGCGTTTTCCTATGAGGTACACGTAGTTTAAAAGATAAGAAGTCATTATTCGTTTTATTGGACGGTAATAACAACAATACTATTAACGTTTCGATTCGGAGTAGATTTCACGGACTAATTATTTTTCTGGTAAACTATATTAATATCGCACCAGTTTTATTGATGTCGAGCGCAATAACCGGTAAATAACATCCATAAAATACCAGCGCCGTTATTTATAATTGATATGGCATTATTCAACAACAACAATAATAATAATGTTGTAAGCGTTGTTCGGAAATAAACGCTTTGGGAACAGTTTGAACATGTCTCACACGAGATAACAATTTTTTTGTGTCGATTCTAGTTTCATAGACAGAGGGCCGGCTGTGACTGTGAAAACGATCAACTCGATTATTTTCAAACCATCACAAAACAATTAATAAAAACCAAACTAAAATACATCGCGCACTTGCTTATGTGCAATTAGAAATGTGTAATAACGCATAAAAATTTCCGTTTAGTTATAAAACAAGTAACCTAATTTCGATCATTTTTAAATTGCCGTTATAGTAGTGGCCTGTACAGGTAGTTATCAATTGTCATTTTCATATAAAAATCATCATAAGTGTCTTTAAAATACTAGTTGGTCACATTAAACGATAACTTTGACTTGAACAGTTGCGTAACGTCTCATCATTTTTCTGGTTGATTGCGTTTTTTGAATACAACATATTTGTTGAGTTGATTTTTGCAATTACAATAGACTAAATACAATAGAGTACAATTGTTGTTTTAATCACACAATAATCTATTACATAATCATACGGAATTATCACTGTCAATTGTTTTTTTTCTCACTCAAAGGTCGCACTATTTTATCATTATTATAAATTCAACACTAGCGGTGTACAAGTTTCCTGCTATTGCTGTGCCTGTGTAAGTTTCATTCGACTCCACTCCGCTTTTGTGTCTGCGATATTCCGGTACGCATTCCATAGGCCGCCGCCGTCACAATGTCTCTAATTGGGCGATTTTTTTTTAACAGCCTCCGGTCAACGTTGTTTTACTATTATTTTTAGCGACCGTCTAATTGCCGTCGGCCGGGAGACAAATGCGTTCGCGTTAAAACTAACGAAAAATGCGTTAATCGGCGAACGTCGTGCCAAAAAAAGAAATAAAATAGTTTTGGAAATGCATCGAACCGCAAATTAACGGCCTATATACATATTGAGCATATAATGTGACAGTCGATATAAAACATTAATTGTCCGTCTACCGAGACGTTTATTTTTTGGCTACCGTTTGATTATATTGCGTTTATTTGTTTATATTTAGACGTTCATTATTGCGGCATTTACTTATAAATGATTTTTCTTTGTAGATTCCAATAACGGCGAACCGCCTAAACTCAAATGCAACCTGAGGAAACACAAGCCCAACAGAAAGCCAAGAACGCCATTCACCACACAACAATTGTTGAACTTGGAAAAGAAATTCAGAGAAAAACAGTACCTGAGTATCGCCGAACGTGCCGAGTTCTCGAATTCCTTACATCTAACCGAAACGCAGGTAAGAGTCCTTCGAAATAATTATGCGTTGTATTTATATACTTGTGCAACAGTTTTCTATCTTACTGTCCTATGACGTTGACCAATCGATTTGTTTTTGGACTTGTTCAGGTTAAAATCTGGTTCCAAAACCGAAGGGCCAAAGCCAAGAGGCTACAAGAAGCCGAAATCGAAAAACTGAAGATGGCCGCGGTGGCCGCTGCCCGGCCGCATCACCCGTTGTATGGCAACCCTCATCTGCCACACTACTTCCAACACCCGTCCGAATTGTTCGGTCACCCACACCAACTGCAGTCTCTATTATCACACCGGCCGACGATGGCCCATTTGATAGCCCAAGGCCTACAGTCGTCGGCCGCCGCAGCAGCCGCAGCCAGCCAACACCAAGGACCGCCGTCATCGTCCCTATCGCCCGGACGGCGTTCCATAACGCCCGGATCACCTTCTCCCACGATCACCGGAGGAGGCGGTGGAGGTTCTACCACCAGTGTTTAAGACGACTCGCATCTCCCACGTTCCTTGTCGCGGTGGTTTTCGAGGCGGGTACCTAACATTTGATACAACATAATAATAAGACTTGAAAGTTTGTCCTACTTAAAAAAATAATATTATGTTGAAGTTAATATTACGAATATTTCGTTCTTCTTAATTATTATTATTATTTTGTAAAGAAAACTAGTCATCAAAACCGCGTGGACTCTGTATACATTATTATTATTATTATTATTGTTCCGTCATTTTTATTTGTTAAAAATAATTCAAGCATTATGTTAACCTTATGAGACAACACCGGTTATTTATTTCGAACACGATTTATTGTATAAAAAAATAGTAGCCGTTGATGTAATAGAGAATTCCTATTGTTGGTTTATTTATCTAAAATACTTTGTGGAGTAGTTGCTTTTTAGCCGTTAATAACACTTGTAATTAACTGTTGTTTGTGATAAGAATTACGTTATTTTTTGACATTTGATCTGACGGAAACATATAACTTATATTTTAAACGTTCTCTGTGGACAAATGTGTAAGCGAATATCCGCGTGTATATAAATATTTATTTTTGTAAATAAAGCCGTTTGTATAAACTATATAAATATTTATGTAAAAGAATGTATACATGAAGATATTACTTCAACGATAGATTATGATTTTGAAAATGTAGGGTAAAACTGTATAACTTGCCAATCCTATGTACCCTATATTCTTTTTTCTTGTATATATTACTACAATTAGCAATAATATTGAGATTTTTTTAAAACAATAAAAGTCATTGTTAATATGTGAAATTAGTTTTTTTCATTTCGATTATCCAATTGTACTTTGGCAATGCTAATATTTTGGTATTTTTAGTCTGGTAATGTGTATAATATCATTCGGTAATCGGTGTCGGTCAAGTGGTAACAGCGAGAAGACACCGGATCTCATTTGCGCGCATGCAGCCACGGCGTAATTCGTATCGCGGGGGGCACGGGGAGGAGGTTTCAATATGGCGACGACGTTCGCTAGGGGCCAATTATGGAGGGCCGCCCATTCTTGCCGATCGGCGCGTCAATAAACTCCACCGCACTTTCTCCATCTATTGGTCTCCTTCGCACAAACAACCGCTTCGAGCCGCATGCCCATCAGGACGCTAATAACTCGGCCAGTTTATACGACGGTCCTCTGCCTTCTTGACGCAATCGAGTTCCGTAAAAAATACGACCGAACAAATAAATGCGAATCATTCTCAATTGATTGTTAAACGGAAATGTCAAAGGAATTCTAAGAATTGAATTATGCAAAAGCAAATTCTTCGAGTACTTTCACAGCCCTTGCAATTATGGTAATACTTACCGTACTGCCATTTTAATTAAATTCTCTGACAACCAAATTCAACGACTTTTATGAAATAATAAAATATCGGTTCATACCAATAATAAAATATTTATCGTCTGGTGTTTGTACATTTCTAATCTTAGGAATGTTTTTTGTTGGATTAAAAAATATTGGGTAGTCCATTTTTTTGCGGTCAAAAATAAAACTGTAGAAACTTTAGTTGTTAGTAACCTTGAAAATTCATTGCTATTGAAAATCTAAAAACCCAAAAACAAAACCATGATGTAATATTTTTCCTTGAAGTTGAGGAAATATTAATATTTTTTCGTTTTTTGTGACTTTCAATTTAATTAAATCAATAATATTTGCATATTTTTTCAATCAAAAGGAAATTTGTGTTGACAATGATTGACGTTTACTATAATTAATGCGTACAAGTTCCCGAAAAACAATTATTTTACAAGTAAACCTAATTCATTGCTAGAACTTGTATATTTTTAATTATCTACATAGTATTAATGCATTTGATTTTCATACCTAATTCAATAATTATGAAATTATGTACATGTTGAATTTTCGGTTCTAATTAGAGATTAATGAATATCAAAAGTATCTATAGGTGTTAAAAATAAAACAACTTCGTAGTACACCATTTCACGTTTGACGCATTATCACTATCTTTGTATTAATGTTTACTTACATGTTATTTCGTAATTAATCGTTGGATGAGTTGGACCTCGTCCCGTACTTAAAAATATACAATACTTCATTAATTTTTATCTGTTTTGATTGTTTTACTGCTTAAAATTATAGAAATTAATTCCTAGGAAAATATTAACGAGCCCAATAAAAGTATAGTCATGTAAAAGTAATTGTGGTTATACAACAAACAAATTGATACCTACCTCTATGTTAATATTAAATTGCTTTATCGCTTCTGTTAATCAATTTTCTGTATATAATGTAAAGACTGATTCTGATTTATTTGTACTGTGTTACATTAAGAAATTTCAATTATACTATTGTTGTTTTCTTAAGAAACTGTGATATTAGTATTGTAATAAATTGCTTGTAATAAATCACAACGAAAATGTTAAATCTAGTAAATTTAAGGCAATTTATTTTCTGTTCTCGATTCAAGTGACTCACTTTATGTACGTTTAGATAGGTATAAATTAAAAAATGTTGCTAAACGAGTAGATTAGGGAGTCGTCGGTACGATTTTTTTTTATTATAGCTCACTTAGGTAATAAAATATTTAATTAAATTATACTAAATCGCGTATGGAAGTAATATGGCTAACCACTTAAGAACGTTTTTAAATAAAATAGTACACCATTAAAGTTGGACAATTATTGTTTTTCAAATATCAAATTTTATGTAGACCAATAAATTTAAACATGGCTCTCGTCAATTTAAATAAATAAGTCAACCATGACGTATTAAGATGTAAAAATTGTAATATGTTTATTTTTAGTGCTTTGTAGATCTCAATTCTAACATTTATACAAAATTGATTATGTAAATGAATTATGTGAATTACATTTTATTGATCAGAATTAGAACATTCAAACTGATGATTTTATTCGAACTGATTATGTTATTATTCATAGTTATATTTTTAATGGTGAACAACGAGTTATTCTTAGACAATCGTGATATTTGTCTCTGAAGTAATTATTCTATTGCATATAGTATTATAGTAGGTACATAATGATACCAAAACTTCGGTTAGTACTCGTGTGTATAAGTGTAGTTAATGGCTTTGGAATAAACCCAATTAACAAACGTTATTTTCGTAAATTACTGAATGTATTCAAAATAGTAAGAGTTTTTGTTATTTGGATAATCGGTTTAATTATAACGTCTAATGTGAACCGATAACAGCCGCCAGTGATTTATCATTAGGCTCATTGTGTTGAGGACGTGTAATGATTAGCATATCAATATTATTATATTGTTCTTATTATAACCGTAATTTTCTACTTCATAATTAAACACAAATAATGGAATTTGCGTTTTTCTTAGAACTATTAATAAGTTATAATTGAAGTAAGACGAAGGCACTAAAGACAAAAATCCCTTGCTCGTGATAGTAAAAATAACCAGAATTATGAATATATAATTACGAATTTTGTTATACCTTAGTGTGTCTAACCGTTATATCAATAAAAATTATATTATTTTCCTAAGTATTAAGTAATAATCGGTAGAAGAGAAGAAAATTGTTACAATTGAATAGGAATTTTGCGTCATAAATTGTAGTAACACTGCGCCAATCAGATGATTTACAATATAATTGATTTTGTTAAATATTTTGTGAAAAATCTGTTATGTTTTGACTCTAACAAATAGTTTTGTGAGTAAATTTCATTCGATTTATATTTTTAAAAATCAATAGAAATTTTTAGTCGTGATTTTGCTATTTTTTTTTTAATCAGACGTAAGGTAAGCTTATTGATATATATAAATAAGACATTAGGTTTTATAAATTATTTTATTTTTTGAAATTACAAATAATAATAATGTGATTTCTGTAAGGAATAATTCGATATATTTTATTTACTTAGTCCTATAAAAAGATTAATACATTTTTATAAATAAATAATTAAATATGTGTACTTGTTTCATTTATTAAAGTAGGAAAATTTTCAAACATTATACATGTATATTGATTAAGTAAAAAATAAAATGTGTTGTTATTTTATTTTTTATATTGAAAGTATAAATTCATTAAGTAATTTATATTTTATCACAACTTAAAACTTATGCAATGAAATGGATAATTAGACATTCTAATAGCTATTAAAAAAAATTTTAATTAATAAATAATCATAAATTACTAATTGCTCAACATTTGTCGTAGAATAAAATCTTGATTTTTGAGTTGATAATTTTACATGAACTCAAAATAAAGTACATTTTAATGAGTTTTGAATTAAACGAAATAAAATCTATACTATTTTAAAAAAGCAAAGAATGAACACCAATAGTGACATTCCCATAAATATTTATAAGTAATTAATTAGTATGATATAATTATTGAAAGGTACATGTATATAATGGTCTACAAACAGATAAAATTCTTGTAATTTAATTATATTTCTATTGAATTATTTTTGTGGATTGTGAGATATTAAAAATAAACACCTTATGAATTGTTAATGGCCTATTACAGTTCATAATCTACTATTTGCTGAGAGGTTAAAAATGATCCAGTAAACAAACTAAACGGCACAAATCATTTTATAAAACAGGAAGAAGATAGATTACAATAATGGCAATTAAAATTGTTTAAATTTGGTGTTAATCTATAAATTAGAATACTAATGATCTAGGTTTAAGGTACAGAATTTATCGCAATAATTAAAATCAATTCTTAATTCAAAGCGTATTCATAGAGTAATCAGGACTTTAGTTTATAATTTAATATTAATACAATAATATGCATTACTGTTGTCATACAAAACCAATATTGTTAAAAAAATGAAAATCATAAAAAATGAGAGCTGTAATACAAAACTTTGTGTACAATAAATGTAGATTTCTAATAATAATTAACGATGGCCATCCCCGGATATTAAGTTTAATACTTTATAGCTACCTTCAGTATTGTCAGTAAATTTTCCTTTTGTTCTACGCACATTTAAGGTGTTGCGATAAAACGCAGTGGCCATCTGTTAACAGTTTAAATACTGAAATGAGAAGTATATGACACTTTCATTGCGATTGAAACGAACTTGTGCATTACGAATGTTAGCATTTTGTTGTTATGACGATTGCACAAGAGTGCTATTTTTTTATCCTTCGCCAACTACAATATCGAAGACGATCAAAAATTGTATTGTACTTTGATAATGTACACATATATGTATATAATTCCTGTTGAAACAAAACCGCATTGTATAAACGGTGCATAATATTAAGAGTGTAATAATATCATAACATATTACGACCCTGTCGAAGTCGCATGCAGATTATGTTTAGGATATTATTATACGATGGCGTATATAATGTGCACTAAAGTTTTTAATCAAAAAACACACAGTGTATAAAACAGTAGTTAAGCTATAACACATCAGGTGGTCCCCAGCGGCAGGGGAGGTGACGATGTCGAGCTGGCGAGGATCATAAAAATCACATTGATTTCCCTTTCCTCCACTCGGCTCAGCCCTCGGTGCCGCAACAAAAGGGTGTCGAGACGCGACAATATTATTACTACTATTATTATACCGTTATTATTCCCCGCACACAGTACCGCACCTCGTTACTAAGTTTTTGAACCCCCGCCGGGGCATTCACGGCGGTGGCGCGAGCCTATGTGTTTTTGGAAAACGTTTGCCATCCCTAAGCACACGAGTACGGGTCTCGGCAAAGAATAACCGCAAAGATGCGAGTGTGTGTGTGTTTTATTAAAAACAATCAATCAAAAAGCGCACGAGTACGTTCAGCATATGTATTTGTTGTGTAA